TTTCTTAAGAAGAAGAAGAGGTGTGAAGTTTCCAAGGCACACTTAGCCCAATTCTGGAATATTCTAGGTAAAGGGTTAACAAGGCTAAACATTGCACATTTAGCATTATAAACATCAACATTAAAATGATAAAATCTTTACGTTTCAATAGCATTTTCGAGGTTAAAGTTTAGTGGAACAAGATGCCCACAAGAAAAATATTATAGTTATTTATAGCAAATTCCATAGTGTTTTTGAACCATGTTAAAGTACTTTAATTAATCTGATGTGGTAATTCTATTGCAGCCGTGGTACATAAAATATATCAACAAATAGTTTGTATTTTACTTTGTATTCAAACAATAAGAAAAACTCCCCAGCTAAAACCAACCAGGTTGGCTGGTTTTAGCTGGAAGTAGCTGGTTTTAGCTGGTCTCCCAACCTGACCAAGCTGGATTTAGCTGGTCTCCCAGCGTGGTATTAGCTGGTCTCAAACTCTGGCCAAGCTAGATTCAGCTGGTCTCCCAACATGACCAGCTAAGTCCAGCCTGACTAGCTAAAAACACCTAAGGCCAACAAGCCTGACCTGTTATGACAAGCCTGACAAGCTAAAACAGCTTGACCACATAAACCAGCTAAGACCAGCTTGGCCAAAATTGGACAAAACCCTTCTAAAACCAGCTATAACCAGTCTGGAAACCAGCTAAAGCCAGCTTGGGTGACCAGCTACAACCAGCCTAAACAGCTTAGGCTGGTTCAAGCTGTTTTTTTTTTTTCAGCAAGGAATACATATTTACTGTATACTATTATATATTATTACAGCAGCATTCCTTAACAAAGTGTTGTAAACATCATAATACAGTATTAGTATAGTTCAAAAACTCTAGTACTATTCATTACAAAAGGATTTTTCCAAGTGGGAATAATTGACAAATTATGTCATTTTATATGATAAATGGTTTTAATTAAATTATTTAGCCAATAATATCAATGAAGTATAGTGCTGTTAAAGACATATTATAAAATAAATTACTTATGAGAGGATGTAATACATATAATTATTACAGTTACATCAAGATATTTATCATTGTATGGAAGGAAACTGAATTCCACTGAAGTTTTGATTTTCAGTGGGAGGTTAAAAAAGTTCTGAAAATGTTTTGGGGAAGGTGTTAAGCTTTAGAGAAGCTCTTTCTGATGAGATGTCTTTATTTGCTGTTTATGAAATGTTACTGTGAGCCCAGAATTATTACCGCCACTTCAAGTGGAATGCGATTAGCATCTTTAAGAGGGCCTAATTATTTCTCAAGTGCTATTGTCTTTCTGGATCCCTCCCATTCTGAAACATTCATGGAAAGCAAAGTGAAGGCAAGGTCAGGGCGTCTTTGAAGGTGCTGTGTGTGTACCGTGTGGACCCATTCCTCTTTGTTCAGCCTGAAAGACAGAATAAATGTTTGATAATTAGCCGAGCCTTTGCTGTCCAGAGTTTTCCAAGCAGAGGACAGACTGACAGAATGAGAGCAACCCAAAGACACAGGCACTACGCATTAGTCCATCAACCTCGCTTCCTCATCTGTAACAATCATTCTTGATGAAAGCATGAGCAAAGGTGAGACTTGGAGTTCCAGATCTGTCTGAGAGCAACAGCAAAATTTAGCTTCAGTTTCTTCACTTTCTCTTATTAGACATTAATGGGTTTTCAATGGAGTTCAATATCCTCAACCCCTTTTTTTGACTCGTCAGGCTCCACTGCTCATAACCAGGAGAATTAATTACAATTGATTAAACTCATCTTTGTGGGAAGCCATTCCACATCTAAAAATAATTCACCATTTCCTTTTGTTCTTTAATCAGGCGGGGAAGTTTTCAACATCTCAGAGGAAATTGCCTGACAAAAGAGGGATGTGTTTTGCGATTTGCTGGTCAGGAGACAGCGGGTGGCTGGACTTCTCTTTTATGTCTCTCTGTGATGATGTAGAGCAGAAGATTAAAAGACCTCAAGCAAACACTGTACTTTTATGCCAATGGGATTGCACAGTAGCAAACAGAAGAGTGATTCTGAAGCCAGAATGATATTGTCAGGATCCAGCCATAACAGCCCTGTGTCACTCCTGTCTGTGTTTAATGTCTCATTGTTTGTTTTGTGTTAGATTGTTTCTTTTGTTGTGTTGGCCATGTGCTCCCCTTGCCCATGGCTCCTTGTTTTCCTATGCCTCGCCCCCTTGTTTAGTCCTTGTTTGTCTAATTATGTTCACCTGTGCCTCTTGCTCTCTACTCCCTTTATTTAGTGTTAATTTCCCCCTAGTTCTTGCCTTTTCGTTACACTTTTGCTGCGTCTGAAATTGCCTACTCAATAGGTACTGTATTTGAATTTAAATGCACTACTCGGCCATTTAAAAAGTACAATCTATACAGTATGAATGTGAGTATGAATGGAACTCAGAACTCTGCCATTTTGTCATGATCACAAGATGGTTGTGTTCATTCACTCACATTCATGAATTTTATCGTGTGGCACAATAGGATAGCATAGCATGCATCAAAATCTCGCCGGAAGTTGTAAGTCATCCGGGTACTTTTCGGGTTGTTGAGATCAGATATTTGTGGCCTAAAGTTAACGAAAATTATTTATATTATCTATAAATTGTATTTCATTAACGTCTACCCTCACGCCAACCCAAAACCCAACGATCACAGTAACGTAACAACTGTAGTTGTATGAGTATTATTTGCTATCTATTAAATTGCCCAATAAATTGTATTATTTAACATCTACTCCTACCCTAACACTAAACCCAACCGTCACAGTACTGTAAAAATATTAATTATTTTTATACAGTGTCATGACAAATGCTGCTATATACATGTGCATATCGCGCTTTTTGCTGGCCAGTATCCTATCTAAACTTTTCCTATTTCCTGCATCGGCTTGCATCAGGTTTTATTGTACTATGGAAGTATGCTATTTCGAATGAAGTCTATATTTTTGTGTGCTTGTCTAGCTAGTCTGGTAAGTGCTTGATAGTAGTCTTTTTATTTTTTTTTTTGTCTAGTCTTCATCTAGTTCTAGTCTTTTTGTCCCTTACCTCGAGGTCATTTACCCTTTTGATTTTGTTTCTATTTTTTCTTCTTTCAGCAAGGTAGATGCCATTTCAATTTTACTTTTGCCTTTTGTGATCCTCAGTCGCAGTCTATTCCTTGTCTTTTGTTCGTTCTTTATTTTTAGTTGCTGTGTTTTGCTTTTTGTTTTATTAGCTACAGCTTGTTTGGCCCTTTGTTTTAAGTTTTAGTAGTTTTATTTATTCACCTATTTGATTCATTTAATTTCTCAAGCTCTTTTTTTCCTTTTTTTTTTTTTAAATGTTTTTTGTTTTTACTTTTGTTCTAGTTTGTTTTTGGTTACTCTTCTAGATTTTCTTGTCTCCCCAGCTGTTTAGTCCTGTTGTGTTGCTTGTGCCACTTGCTGCCTGAGTCTCCGCTGGTTGTAAAGTAGATCCTCCTGACTTGATGTTCCATCTGTTTGCCACCCCTGTCCCAAACCTGAGGATCTGCTAGTTACTTACTGACTGCTTGGCCTAAAGTTTTGAATTTCCCCTTTCCTGACCAACCTGTTCCACCCACACAAGACACTCCACACTGTATCGTCCTCCTGAGTTTCCATCCCTCACCAGCCTGTTCTCCTGCCAACACCCTGCACTATTGCTTGTACTGTCCTTCTGCATTGCCATGTTTCCCTCCTGTAAATAAACCTTGTGTTCTCTGGTCTATTCTGCATTTGGGTCCTCCCTGCCAACCCTGACAGATATACTATATTGGTCAGCAAATGCTTGAGTATATGGAAATGGTTGATAACATGGTTGATGACCATTGACATGTTGACTATTCTTAAAAAAAAAACTAAACATATTTATTAATTATGTGATGATTAAGACACTGAGTTGTATCTGGTTAAATAGTCACACCAAATTATCCTGTAAAAATATGGTTTGTCAGACAATAATTGGTGATTGTTGAGCATCATTAGAATTAATTGTTGTTCTTAATTCAATAACTTTTTTTATTTTAAGTGTATGGGTGTTTTCCAGTACTAGGTTACAGCTGGAAGGGCGTCCGCTGTGTAAAATGTGTGCTGGATAAGTTGGCGATTCATTCTGCAGTGGCGACCCCTGATTAATATAGGGACTAGGCGAAGGAAAATTAATGAATGAATTTATTTATTTTTATGATTTATATCCTTAACATTTCACTGATTGAACAGTTCAGCTTGCAAGTACATAACGTACCAACCCAGAACCGCAGAACCACACACGTTTTAGGCACACACAATCTAGGACACACGATTTAGGCAAACCATATATGGAAGCTAACTTACTCTTTAGCTTTATCGCCACCTGTTGAATTTCACAAATATGGTTTCCCATTTCTGTCATTATTATTATATCGTAACAATGATTTTAACATCTCTCCAGTTTCTAAACTCAAATAATTGACACTTATGACTTTATTCATGTGTCCACATAAACAAAGAAAACATAACAGACTGTCCAATTGTAGGATAAAGTGTAATAAACTAATTCAGGATCTTAATATTATCATACTTGGTTAAAATCACTTTG